ACTTTCTTTAAACCAACTTGAAAAAACTTCAAGAGTCATCACTACTTCCCTTCCTTCTTGTTAATACTCCTCTTCAAACAAAAACTTGATCGCTAGTGACCTGAAAGTCAAGAAATACCTTTCTTACCAAGGGCAAGAAAGTTTTGAAAGGAAGAAGAACTAATGTGCCATCATCTCACACTGTAGAGAAACAACACAGAAGTTCTGTGGTAATGAGAGACAACTTTTTCACTCTCTTGTCATCTGTTTGGCTTTTCATAGTGCTCATTCAGAATTTTTTCTGGAGAATTTTGCCTATCTCAGTTTGATCCTGAATTTTAAGTAGCACAAAGTTTCTCACACCGTGATTGGACAGATAGAGATCACATTAGTAAAAGAAGTAAACAAGCTTCCATTGGTCACATCACATGTCTAAATGCATTTTCTCAGTTCCATAAGAACCTGGAGTCCACCATAAGTCAATCTGGGATGTGGATGGATATAAAACAAGCAAAACTCTTAAATCAGTGATATCTTGGAAAAAGAACTGTTGGAATAGGATTCATAGTATAGCCAACAAAGACCTCTCCCTCCTCTTTCTCTCCAACAAACATGACAACACCTGGAATAGTATCTTTTTGGAGGGATTTGATACTCCCAAATTCTCATTGTATACTGACATATCCTTTGAACACAATCACCTCTCTTAAAATTTTTCTTTGGGACGATGTGTCTCACCTGAGCATGTTCATCAGGGGGAATCTAGAAGGATCGACAGATCTTTTTTCCTGGTACATGAATTAGATTGATCCAAGTTATTCTCCCTGACAACAAGCCATACCGTGGGTTGGAGTGACCAGAATTTTATAACATGGAGACACTGAAAGCAGCCAAGGAACAGGCAATACGTCCTCGACCGATAAAGTCCTCGAAGAGTAATCAGCTTACGGAGTCAAAGTAGTAATAGTAGTGTAAAATTCTTAATCACTTATAGACAATTCTAGGAGTGTTTTATTAGTAATTATTTCTTGTATATGCATTTATTTGCCATGTCTTGAAACTTTAATAAAACAAGGTTGAGTCACCATTTCAAAAAAAAATTATTTCAAAGTAAATAAAAATCACAGTAAAACATCCTTTTGAATGTTTCAAGACTTAGAATGAAAGATCAATTATATGGAACAAATCTCAAAGTAAAATTCTTCAGTACATCAAAAAAACAAAAAATCTATTTGATAAGAATTAAACAGAAATTAAAAAAATAATAGGGAAATAAATTCAGGATATCAAATAATAGAATAAAAGCTTATATAACACAGTTTATGACTTTAAACATAAAGATAAGATCAAGATTCTGGAAGAGTATCTCAAAGTTCTTAAGATTTCAATAACAATAATACAAAATATTATTGATAAGTTTTGTAAAAAAATAAAGAAGACCTTCAAAAAGAAAGTTTGAAACAAGTGTTATAGCATTATTATTAAATGGAAATAAAACTAAGAAATTATCAACAAACTTAAATAGTTTAAAATATCAATTGATACAATTAGAAAAATGAATCAAATCCTTGAGTAAGCCAATCATTTCTTTATTTTTTCCTCTAAAAATATAACAAAAAATAAAGAAAACTTAAACCAAATAAAATTTCAAGATAATATAGTAGATAATAATAAGTAGTTGGATATCCAAAGGTTTTAAATAATTTGGTTTTTAATTATAGTTGGAACTTTGAAGGATCTATAGTGATGAGCTATAGACAATGATCTAAGTGACTAAAAAATAATTCAAGTCACAAAGGAAGCAAAATATCATTCTTTAAAATTGCATCTAAAAAAGGTTAAACTTTGTAAATAGGTGAGTCAATATGTAAAAGTCATAAAATATTAAAATATATTTATAATAAAATGGACAAGGCCTTAAAAAAAAAAAAAGAATCTAAAAAAGATTTACTTCAATAATAAATAAGTTGATATGTGAATGTCATTTAGATTATAAATATTTTTCTTTAAATACTTGATAAAAATTCTTTTATGAAATTAATGACTTTTTACATTATATTTTTTTTTTTAAAAATAGCAATACCTGTGTTTAAGATAAATATCCAATCAGATAATGGAGTCTTTTAAAAAAATATAATAAATTTCTTTTTTTAGTTAATGTTCGCGGCGCTTGGAACCCTTGTGATAAGTCACGTGAAATACATTGGCTTATCAAAAAAGTTGTCCAATCTGACTTCTGCATGTTTGTACGCGAAATACTACGTATCTATATAAAACTCGTAAACAATCTATCTTTCTGCCTTACGGTGCTTCCACCAAATTTACTCGGCTAGATTCACCATTTTTAATACGCACAAGACAATACTGTCCTTTATTTTTTCTAAAATATTAGAACGTCTCCTTTAACCTCCCGCTATAGTTAACTCCTTTAGTGCTCATCTTTTTTTTTCGTGCTTCTCTGGACTTTACTTGAAATTAAAAATTTGTGCTTCAGTATTTTATACACTCGGACAGAATGCCTCTTTATGCGCGTAAACCTATTCACCCTATTCCAAAACCAAGACTGGATCTAGAAAAAAATGCAAATCGCAATGTCTGGGTGATATCATATACTTCAGAAATTTTCATTGAATATAAGTATCCTTTTTGTATATAACGATTTAGGGTTACTTTAAAGTCAAGGCACTTAAAAGGCACCATGTCTGCAAGCCATCCATTTGATCAACGTAATATATATATTTTCTGCATGTAAATAATAATCGGCCTTTAGAATATTAAACAAATGCTATGACTGTTTTCCTTAATCCCATTCCCGTTTTGCAGAGATTATTTAGCACGTTTGGCACTCTACGAAAGACCTATATGGCAATGTGCCTTAACTGGAAAACAGGGTCTAACATATAGGCAAGCTCTTAAAAGTGAAAAGAACCATAGGGAAACGTTGGAGGATAAGTTTCCGGAAGGATTAAAACGACAAATACTGGAGCTAGTTCAATTCAGTAAGTCAAGCAAGTTATTGTGTATCAAGCGATCAAACGACGCATCTTATTATTATTCATAACAAAATCTAATTCATTTGTTATTTTTGAATAACAGAAATGGAAAGATTGGACATACTTGTAAACGAGATCTTTCAAAGGTTTAAGGACCTGTATACTGTCGGAGAAATTATATATGTAGTGACTGATAAAAAGAAGTATGTTTCTCGATAATGTCAACAATAGGATAACCAATTTGCTCACCGTTTGTTTCGGCATTTTTTGCAATTCGACAGAGTTAAAGCGAAAATTTTGGAGGTCATCCAAATTGTTCCAAGTGAATCAAGTTCTAAAGGAGCAAAGATAGGCAATCAAAAACCACGTAAAATCACACAGTCGCAAGTTTCATACCGCGTACAAATCTTGGAAGATGAAGGAAACTCCGCGAAACAGAAGAATAAGAAATCCATTGTAAAAATTATTGCCGGGAATGAGGCGATGAGGTTAGAGTTTTTAGATTGAGTTTGTATTCAAAACGGAATCCCTCGACGTTCTTTTAGGCTAAAAAAAAAAGATTTTTTTTTTTTAGTCGCGCGGACAAACTTTCATTCACAAAAACACTTATCCGTCAATTCATTAAAGAGTCGGCAGTTAAAGATTCTTATTTTCATGCTCCATGGCTTGTTAAAGTATGAATTAATGTGTAACACACTAATTTACATTGAATATTCTGGCATTAACGCATATATTTTGCAGTCTATATTAGCTAAAAAATATTCCATACCGACGAAATTGCCAGATGAGTTACGACAGGCCAAAGTTGAGGCGCTAGAAAAAAGTCAAAAACGAAAGGTTGGATATATTTATTTGAAACAAATTTTAATATAGTTTATATTAACAAATTAATATTGTTTTAAGTTATCTTCAAATGAAGTATTGACGAAGAAATCCAAGAATAATAAGGGAGCGAGTGTAAATGTACGGGCATCAAAAGAAACTGCAACTAATAAAAAATTCACAAATAATAAGGTTTCTAAGTCAAGCGCTAAAAAGTCGACTGGTCAAAAACAGTCTAAGAAACAGTTGACTAGGAAGCAGGCTGGTAATCTTGCAGAAAAAGTCAAGCAAGAGAAAAAGAAGCAACAGGAGCTTGAAAAAAAAAAAAAAGAGGCTGAACGCCAAGCCGCAAAGGAAAAAAAGCAAAAAGAAAAGGAAGAGCAAAAGCGAATAAAAGCAGAGCAAAAGAAGAGTAAGCATATTCGTTATATAAGTCTATCATCTGTTTATACGCGTTAAATAAATTATTTGTAGTCAAGTATCCAATCGAAGATCTTGAAGTACCTCTTGATCGATTATTACGTCAGAAACGACCGTCAATAAGTCAGGACTTTAAAGTTCCCCCAATATATGTTGGAACAATGCTTGCTATCTGGAATTTCTTTAATATATTTGGGTAATTATATTTATTAATATTTACATTTGATTTTAGGGAAATTCTAACATATTCCTCTATATCTTTTAGAAAGCCGCTTGGCTTGTCATTTTGCACTCTCGACGACCTCGAATCATCGCTTCATCATAATATGACAAATCCTCGTTGTTATTTGGTCATCGAGATGCATGTGGTCTTATTGAATGCAATTATCAAGGACCGTTTATATTTTAAGGGCAAAAAACGTCAAGTTGTCCCTCGTATTGCCAATTCAAGAGAGAATTCAAGGGATGAAACAGAAAGTGACACGATGCAAGTTGATCAAGACACTGAAGATGCAACTTCAGATGTTTCTCGAGAGATATTGGAGGGATTAAGTAAGAATTGGGATAAACGAACTCTTCCTTCAAGTGATGGACGAAAAGGTTGGGAAAGTATTCTCGTCGGTTGCATCCATCAGGTATAATTTTATAATATTAGATTCAATATCACGTTAACTTGCGTAACAACTCCACGTATTGATTCATTATTACTTTTTCCCTTATTATCGAATGATTTTCTTGACACGCAATTCCAATATTTGCAGCTGGGCGATCATAAATCAATTCCTAATTTTAATCGCATAATTTCACATATGGTACCTGATAGCGAGTCTGTTACCGAAGAAGATTTTGAAGAAAATTATGTGACTCTCGAAGTAGTAGATAAATTACAAATTTTGGACTTCTTAGTTAACGCTGCCGTAAAGACTTTAGTTATCCACGACCACATTGAATGGTGTATCGAGAAGCTATCAGATCTGAACAAAGAAAAAACTGACCTTGCAAAAGAGAGACGACGGATGTAAGATTATATTATTATGTTAATTGCGATTTTACGTTACATTACTTAAAATGTGTTTATTTTATACGTTTCAGTACACTTTCACTCATTGAAATTGCAAAAGGTAACCTTCCTCCGCCCTCGGTTAATGATTCAGATGGGGATTCTCCGGCTTCTGCTGTGAAATCTAACGGAAATGGCATCATGACTTTGGAATCCAGAAAGCGTAAACTGGAGGAAGAAGAAATCGGGGTACAAAAGAGGGTAAGGATTGTTCGGATTTATATATTCAAATTTAAATTCTCATCGTTTATAAATACATTATCAGGAAGAACAAATTGAAAAGGATAAGCGGAAATTTGCAGTTCCACGGATATTTCCTTTGGGGCGTGACCGTTTTTATAACAAGTATTACTACTTCGATAATACGGGAGCGGCAGTTACCGAAAAATATGGTGCAGGTAGAATCTTTGTCGAGAGTCCGAATAACTTTGATTTAGAAATAATGAGAGAGAAGGAAGAACAGCGTTTCAACAAAAGGAGGAAAACCGAGGATCTTGGTTTCCTTACTGTTGGTTCGGGTAGCCAGACTCAGTGGGGATATTATGACGATATTTCTCAGGTTTGTATACAATTAAATGATTTAACCGTATATTATTATTTTCGTTAAATTTTTTTATCGATTTATGTAGATAGAAGAACTACAACAATGGCTTAATCCAAAAGGTTTACGAGAATTATCCCTTAATGAGGAATTGAAATCTCATTTTCAAGACATTTCCTCAGTAATGAGCAAGAGGCAACAGGTGAATTAATTAATCTTTTGTTTTATCGTATTATAAAAAAAGTTAAAATTTTCGAATGCTTTAAATTTAGGATATGGGTGCTTCACGTACTACGCAGGAAGTGCGAAGAAGTAAACGTACTCAAGTAACTTTGGCCATGTTATCTGCGCAGTCGTACATGAAATGGGTTAATAAGATGATCAAATGATGAATGTCAATTTTATTAACCAGAATGAAAATATTCATTAGTACTCTGTCTTGCCTTTACGACAAGGTCATTGCAAATAATAATTTTTCTTAATAATAGAAGGTCATGTAACTAGTATTCTACCTAAAATACTGTGCGTATACACTGAATTTGATATTCAATAAATAAAAAACAACTTGTGACTGCGCATATTGGTTGAAGTTAGCCATCTAAAATATGCAAATGTTTACTTCGCGAAATGTTATGGATTTTGTAATATTTTATTATTTGTTGTACTGTTAGATTTAATATAGTGCAAGATGTAAATAAAGTATAGAAATGCAACTATTTTTTGAATTTAAACAAAAATTTGATAAAACTTTATCTTATGGTTTGTTGTTATTCTTTTCAAAAAGCTAACATGTTAAAATTAGGTTATACAAATATTATAATTATAAAAAAGAATATTAAAAAGTTTGAGTTATTATGTTTTAGTATAAATTTTAACTTTATTAATTTTTAAATCCTTAATTATACAATCAAAAATTATAGAATTCATATATATTATATCTTAATACTAGATTTATTTCTTTTATTTTTTTAAAAAATTTTTCATATATAATTTTTAAAATTTTATTGTTAAAAAAAATTTTTTTTATCAAATTTTTATTTTTGAATGATTTTTTTTTAAAAAAATTCTCTATCAAGCTAGATATATATGATTTATTAAACATATATATACTTTACATTGAAAAATGTATCACTAAAGCTAAGTTTCTACCTAACTCACTTGTCTTTATTTTAAGAATTATTAAAACTCTAAGTACAACATTAGGAGTGATTTATTGCTCTGTTAGTAGTTCAAATAAAGATTCTTTCAATTGTTAACTTCATTGCCTATAGGTCACTACTATAGATCACTCCGTGATGTTCTGATAGAGCTTAAAACCCAACCATTTCATTCTATATTTTATTTTTCTTGTTAGAATTTTTTGAAAACTTTCATCTTTAAGATTTCCTTCTTAAGATAGTGGATCTCTTTTCTTCAAAAGCATAGTTTTTTTATTTGAAAAATATAGAGATCTTTTTGTCTTGTTTTCTTTATCAATTTCTTGTATTTGTTTCTATTCAATTACCATATTATATATCTTTTGTTTTAAACTTTTTTTTGAATTTGGTTATAGATTTTTTGTAACGAATCCACGCCTGCCCCCATCAATTCTGTGTAAGTATATATGACTCTGTGTGACTATGGACCCGAAGTCCTCCCTGTCTACTATTTTTGAACTCTCTGCGTAACATCATCCGAGATCATCTTTAGTGATCCCGGGCTAAGTGCCTTTCATCATAGTCAATTTGTCTTGTTTCCCCAGAAAAGAAATTAGCCCCGTAAACAGTAGTAGCGTGAACCAATAGATTTCTTTTATTATTATTATTTTTCTTTTTGTTGTTCTTTTTAAGTCATATTATAGCCCCATAAGTCTGGATGTCCGTTATGTCAAGATTTATGTATTTTTAATTATTGTATTTATAGATTTATTTATGATATTTTAACTAAAAAGTACTGTAGGCCAAATTCTTATATAGAGAGGAAAAGCCTCTCCTGAAATAAAAACAACTTTGTTGTCTTGTTGGCCAAATAATAATTGTTCACTGACTTATTGAAATAAAGTCTTTTATAACTTGATAGTAGCGGATTGTTACAATTACGTGATCACACACATACACATATACACACACATATTCATAAGTTTTTTCTTCAGATTCTGTCGTGATGGATGGAACACAATTTCAAGAATTTATGGCAGCTCTTGCCCAAGGGTTGGGACAATTACAAGTTCCCGCACCACAGCAACAGCAAGGTACTGCTCCCCCAAAATCTCCGTCAGGATTCCCACATACAAGGGAGCCCCAAAGGAGAATGTTATCACTTGGATGCTACAATGTCTCAATATTTTCATGGCGCAAGGCATTGCAGAGCCACAAACACGTATACAGTATGCTGCCACTGGATTAGAAGGTGCCGCTCTGCATTGGTATCTCAATAAAGTACAAGAGGTACAGGCTGCCAATCGAAAAAATGTCTTTGATGATTGGAACAATTTTGCTCGTGACCTTCGTACTACCTTCCAGCCGCTGAACCACCAACAGTATCTGCGCCATCAACTAAAAAGACTTTGCCAGACTGGCTCTGTGCAAGAGTATGGCATGGCCTTTCGAAACCTCTTGGGTCAAATTGATAATATGGCTGAGACTGATAAAATTGCATATTTCGTGGAGGGATTGAAACCTGCCACACGTATGGAAGTGAGCTACTGCTCTCCCAATTCTTTTGAAGAAGCCTGGACACAGGCCATGAGATATGACATCACTATATATGGCTCTGGAAAGCCAGCGCCACGAAGGAATGAACAGAGAAACCAACAGGGTTTCAATAATAGGAATCAGTCATCACAGA